TGCGTGTCGGCCCTTCATTCTGTGGCTGGGTGGGGGTGTCTCTGCTTTTCTGGCTCTTACAGGTAACACTGCTGTGAGCGTCCCTGGGCAGGGTCGGGCCGTGCGCTTTCCTTCTTCCTGGGTCTTCCCGGGGGTGGAATTAGGGGCCGCACGGTGACCCTGCCTGGCGTTTGGGGAGCGGTCGGGCGGTTCTCCAGCGCGGCTGCCTCCCTGTCTCCTTCCCAGCGGCAGCATGCGGGCGCTCGGTTTTCTCGCCGACGCCTGTTGTTCTGTCTTTCTTGAGCCGTCCGGTACCCGTGAAGCGGCATCTCTCTGTGGTTTTCATTTTCTTAGTGACTGAATGTGGAGCATCGCCGCGTGTGTTTCTTGGCTATTGACATCTCTTCTTTGGGGAAATGTCTAATCATCCCTTTTCCATTTTTAAATTAAGTTTTATTATTGAGCTTCACGAGTTCCTTATATAGTATGGATGTAATCTCTTACCAGATATGTGATTTGCAGAAAATTCCCCCCGTCCTACGGCCACCTTTCTACCCTCTCGATGGTGCCCTTGGGGCACGGAGGTGCCCGTCACCTGCTTGCTGCTGCTGTTTCTGCTTTCGGTGTCCTTCGGAAAAGACCCTGCCTGAGCTAAGAGCTCTCAGAGATCGACGGCTGCCTTTTCTGCTAAGAGTTTTATAGTTTTTGCTCTTACCTGTAGGTCCCTGATTTCAAGTTAACTTTTGTCTACATTGAGCGGCTCGTGTGCAACTCGGGTCTTTTGCACGTCCATGCCCCGCTGCTCCGCTGTGCCAGTCGGACGGCAGCCCTTTCCCCGGGGCCTCGGCGCCCTCGTCAGCAGCCGAGGGCTGGGAGGGTTCATCCCTGGACCTTGACCTCGGCTCCCCTGGTCTGTCTGTCCTCACAGGCCCTGACGGAGTCTTCTAGTAAGTTTTGAAATCTAGAGGTGTGAGCCCTCTAATTTTGTTCTTTTTCAAGATTGTTTTGGTTATTGTAGGTCCCTTGAATTTCCATAGGAATTTCAGGATCGGCTTGTCAGTTTCTGCGGAGAAGCTGGCTGGGATTTGGATAGGGATTATGTTGAATCTGTATTGGATTTGAGGAGCATCGCAACAATGTTAAGCCTTGATGTCTTTTGATGCATGAAGTTGATTGTCTTTCCATTGATTTAGGTCTTTAATTTCTTGTAACAGTGTATTTTAGTTTTTAGAGTGTCTTACACACTTTTTGTTAAATATGTCCTTATATGTTTCATTCTTTTTGATGCTGTTATAAGTAGAATTGTTTTCTTAATTTTACTTTCAATTTGTTCCTTGCAAGTATATAGAAATACAATTAATTTTTGTCCATTTATCTTGTATCTCAAAACCTTGCTGAATCTGTTTTTAAGTTCAGATTCTTTTAGTCGATTTCTTAAGATTTTCTGCATATGAGATCATGCCCTCTTGCTCGATAGTTTTACCTCTTCCTTTCTAGTCTGGACGCCTTTTCTTTCTTTCTGCCTAGTTGCCCTGGAGCTGGACGGAACCTGCGGCAGCGTGCGGAGTAAGAGTGGGGCGCAGAGTTCAGTCCGATCCCAGGCTTCCGTCAGGAAAGGTGGCGTCAGCTGTGGGTTGTGCGGAGGCCTTTGATCTGGGTGAGGACATTGCCTCCTGTTTCCGGTTCGTGGAGCCTGTTATTGTGAACGGGGGCCGAATTTTTTAAAATGCCTTTTCTGAGACCCCTGAGATGATGATGTGTTTTTTCCCTGTAAATAGGGTGTGTGGCAGTAATTGGTTTTGGCTGTTAAACCAGCCTTGCCCTTCTTGGATAAACCCGGCTTTGCCACGACGTGGACGTTGTTCTCGCCGGGGTCGCGTGTGGGCGCCAGTGTTCCGCTGAGGGTCTTGCGCGTCTGGGTGCGAGGCAGTGGGTCTGCAGCGCGCCCTCCAGCGGCGTCTCCTACGCCCGGAAGCGTCCCCGCCGCTTCTGGGTTGTGGAGGGGCTTCTCGAGGGTCGGTCGGACCACTTCCGTGTGTGCTCGCTGGGCTGGCAGGGAAGCAACCCATGGGCCTGGGCTTTCGGGGGGGCGTGTTTTGAGGACTAATTCAGTCTCTTCATGTGCTATGTGTCTATTCAGATTTCCTTGTCCCCCTTTACATTTCAGTTGCTTTTGTCTTTCTGGGAATTTGTCCATGCATCTAAGTTACTTAATTTGCTGTTCACGGTGCTCGCTCTCAACCCTTTTTGTTTCTGTGAGGTCGACAGTAACATCCTTGCGTTCATTTCTAATGCTGACCATTTGTGTCCTCTCTTCTCAGTCTAGCTAGAGATTCGCTGACTGTTCTTTTTTTGTTGTTGTTGTTGTTTTTTCTCTACCACTTTCTGAGGCTGTGTATTTTCAGGAAGTAAGCAGACCAGTGGCTTTCCAGGAACTGCCAGAATCCAGCTGCAGTTCCCAGGAACCTCGTCTCCCCTGTTCTCTCTGGGGGGCTCGGGGCAGGCAGGTGGGCGGTGGCTGGGTGCCGACTTCTCCCTGCCGCCCCAGAGCAGCCCATCCTTGGCCTGGACTGTGTTTCCACGTAAAGGTTACTTTGAAGAGGCGGCTCGTTGCTAAAACAGCCCCTCACACGCTAAACAAAACCCACATGACAGCAAGGCCGAGGCTGCCGTGACGGTGCCGGACCGCACGCTGCCAGGACACGCGCAGAACCGCGGGGCTCGTTGCCTGGATACCTGCGACGCGTCCGCGCAAACACGCACCCTCGCCGGGAGGTACCAGCGTCCGAACCGGGCTGGCAGCCACCCCACGGAGGCAGGGATGAGAACGGGGGACGTTTCAGCTCTGGGGCGAGACAGGCCGCTGGGCGGGAAGGCCCGTCCCCACTGCGAGGCGGGCGGCCTGGCGCTTTGTGCTGGCTGCCTGGCCTGCCTGCAGCCTGACCCGGGGCCGCTCCTGTGCTCCACGTCCCTCGCTCCCGCCCGTTCCCGGCCCTGGAGGCCCCCACGCTGCCTGGCTCGGGCCCCCTCCGCCCTCCTCCAGTGCGCGCCACAGCATCGCGCAGGGCCGTCGCCTTGGCAGGGCCCCCGGCACCGCCGGGAGCTCTCGTCGGCCACTCTTCAGGGTGCACGAGTGGCTGGGGTCCACCTGGGTGATCCAGGCAAAGCCCCAATGGCTGTGTCTGTGACCACGGCCCCTGAACCCCCTCAGCCGGGTCCGCTGATGCAGCCACGGGTTCTGGGGTTAGGGCGTGACTCCTTTGAGGGGCCATTATTCTGCTGACGTCACCGCTGAAATGACAAAGAAGGAGTCCTCTGCTTTCAAGGTGTCACAAATCAGTAAGAAGGGGGCGAGCGGTCTTTTAGAAAAAGGGACAGCGGGTCTGAGCAGGGAGTTCCCAGAAGAGCAGATGTGTTTACATGCGCCCTCTCATTAACGCTCGAGGGGACGCGCCCGCGGGGGACCCCTTTCCCTCCGTCGGACCCGCAGCCGTCCCAGCCTGCGCTCGGGGCGGTCCTGCCGCCGGCCTCGTGTGCCGCCTGCCCTCGTCGCTGCGTCTTCCCGCCCAGGCCGTCCAGGTGGCTCGTGGCTGTGGGCAGGCGTTCGTCCCCAGAGGGGTTTATCGCTGTGTTTACAACCACAGACACTTTTAAGCATGTGAACGTCCCACGGTCGACACTGGCTGCGCGAGTCCTGCCGCAGCCGGACGGCGGGGCGGCGGAGGGAGAGGCGGTGCTGCCCTGGGGTCGGCCCGGGCAGTGACGCGGCAGCTGGCCCTCATGCTGTCGCCTCAGGTGGTGACGACCAGGGACGGGGTGACGGGGGCTGCGGAGCGATGTCCGGGGGGCTCTGCGCCCTGCTCCCCGTTCCTCTGCTTTTGAACTTACACAGCTGCCCGTGTGTGTGTTTAGCTGTTAAACAGGACGTGCAAAGTAAAGAAGTGCCTTTCAGTGAGTTGAGGAATAGGAACGATAAGGGGAAACAGGCACAGCACAGCACTAAGGAAGGCCGGCGGCTTCCATTCTGTCCTGGCAGACGAGGACGTCCGTCTCCATCCCAGGCGGCCCGCCTGTCTGGGTTCACCGTGGCAGCCTGCGCGGCCCGCGGCTCGAGCACGCCTGGCGCCTGCGCTCTACGTAGCCGGCGGGCCGTCCGCCCTGCGTGGAGGTCTGCGGGCGGTCCCGCGGGCGGGCAGCAGTGCGCTCTCCTCTCCCGTCCTGCCCTGCCCGTTGTCGTGGTGGCTTTAGCCTTCCTGCTTATTTCTCATGGTGGCACGGTGACGGCTGCCAAACCCCAGGCCCTGCCTCTGTGTTCCGGGCAGGAGGAGGGGAAGCCAGGGCCGGGCGTACTGGCGACGCTGTCCACTTCTGTCAGGCAGGGAGGCTGGCACGTGTCGCGCCGGGCCTGCGTGGGCACTGGCCACCTTTCCGGGACGTCCCCAGGAGGAGGATGCGGGTGGGGTCGCCCAGCTGGCCAAGGCGGGTGACCGCCGCCTGGGTGGCTTTGTTTCCGTCTGTAGTCCAAGTACACCCCGATGAGCGTGAGGCTTTGTAATAAAACCATTCAGTCTTTAAAAAATGGGGTTCGTCCTTTCTGTGCTCTGCATCCTGTCTCTAGACAGGGTGGCACAGCTGGGAGTCTCCTGGCGGGCACCCGTGGTCGGTGCTCGGTCCTGCCTGCGGCACGCTGTCCACGCACAGGGTGGCTGGCAGCTCCCCGCAGCCGTACCTGTGGCTGGCGCGGGGGCGGGGGCCGGTGCCAGCGCAGCCAGGGCTGTGGGCCCCGCCGTGGGTCTGCTCACAGGGAGGCCTGAGTGCCTGCTTGTTTGCTGGCTGTGGCTTGTACGGGGCCATTCACCCATCCCAGACGGCCAGCGGGCGGCCCGGGGCAGCTGACGGACGGACGGCTGCCTCTCCCTCAGGCGCGTGGGTGCCCAGGGGCGGGTGTTTCTCCTGCGTCTGCAGGGGGCCTGGGGGACGCTGCGAAGAAGCTGACATGTTTTCCCTTTCTCTTCAAATAGCATCCGGCACGTGTATGGCGCCCAGCACCCCCCTTTTGACCCACTGTTGCACGGCACGTAAGTGAAGCCCCCGCGCTCCAGGGGCGGGTAGGCCGGCCCTGGCGGCTCTGGGGACCTGCCAGCCCCTGGAATTCCCGGGCAGGGGAGGGAATGGTTCGTTGAGCAAACATGTGTCAAGCACTGGCTGGTGCGAAACACTGCTGGCCTTGTCCAGCGTGTCCCCGTGGGGAGCCAGACGTGGAAGCCGCAGCCCGGAGCGGGGCTGCCCGTGCAGGACACACGCAGCTGGAGCCCCCAGTGACCGGGCTGGCCTGTGCGTGGGGGGCGGGGGCGGGGCTGTGCCCCACCCGGCAGCCCCTTGGGCCCGAGGCCCGCTCCGCCGGAGGTGAGCGAGGGGCGGGGTGCGGCCCTGCCTGAGTGCCCGTCCCAGGAGACGTGGACACGCAGAGCAGCTGGTGTCGCCTGCAGGCGCACGGCGGGGTCTCAGATCCCGTCCACACGGCCAAGGCCCCGCCCTGTGAGCCGCCCCCCTGCCCCAGTGCCGCCTCAGGGGTGGCAGGGATGCTGGGACGAGGGGCGGCCGGCTCCGGCCCGGCGAGGTTTGGGGTTGGCCGGGTGCCTGCGTACGGCGCCATGCTTCCGCACGCACCGCTTCTGTCCCAGGCAGAGCCGCTCGGCGGGGCGCGGCCCCTCCCCGCGCCCGAGTCCCAGTGGCTTCGCCCGGCGGCCTGTCTGGCGGCCGTGCTGGGTGTGCTTCCCCCGCCCTTCAGCTCCAGTGAAGCTGAAAACAGCTCCTCTTCCCCTGGGGGTCCCTTCGGACAGTTGTGGGGAGAGGCCTGGGCCCTGAGGTCCAGTGAGGCCGCCCTTGCTTTGCAGTTTGCTCAAGGCCGCGCCCAAGGCGCCCGCCACGCCCGTGAAGGCCAAGAGAGTCAGCACCTTCCAGGAGTTCGAGAGCAACACCAGTGACGCCTGGGACGCCGGCGCGGACGATGACGAGCTGCTTGCCATGGCGGCCGAGAGCCTGAACTCCGAGGTGGTCATGGAGACGGCCCGCCGTGTCCTGCGCAGCCACAGCCAGCGGCAGGAGCCACCCCCTGCCCCCGGCGGGGACCTCCGGCTGGTCAAGTCTGTCAGCGAGAGCCACACGTCCTGCCCTGCAGGTGGGATGCGACCTGGGCTGGCGCGTGGCCCCGCAGGAGGGTAGGGCCCTTCTGCGGCGGGCGGTTGGGGCCGCCCCGAAGGCCCTTGAGGTGGTTGTCCGGTGGCTGCAGGCCTCCAGGCGGGAGGTGTCGCCACACTTGTCTCCGTGCCCCCGGCCGAGGGCCTCTCCCCTCCGGGTGGAGGGGCTGGTCTTGAGGGGCCACCGTGAGCGCGGGGCTGGGGGACACCCTCCCTCCTTGGCACGCGCTGGCTGCTCTGGGGGGCGTTTCCAGCTGGGGAGGGGCAGCTGCGCACTCAGAGGACGGACCTCCTAGGGCAGCTTCCGGCAACGCCTCCCGGGACACTCCACGTTGGCCCAGGGGTGGGGGTCCCACGTTTCCGTTGCCGTGTTCAGACGATAAACTCCTTGAGGGCGGGGGCCACGCGCTTGGGACTCAGCAGCCGTTCTCGCAGCCGCTCTTCCCGTGTCGGCGGCCCCCCGGTGGGCCTCGCCGTGAAGTGGGCTGGTGCTGCGCTTGGGCTGCGAGGGGACCGTCGCATGGCGTCTACTCACAGCCTGGAGGCGGGCAGTCCGAGTCTGCCCGGCTGGGCTCTTGGGGGGCCTCTCCCTGGCCCAGGCGCCGCCTCCCCGCTGTGCCCTCGTGCAGCGGGGAGTGAGGGCAGCAGGCTGGCTCCTGGCTCCTCCTAGGGCCCTGATCCCCCCACGGTCCCCCCATGACCACATCCGATCCTAATAACTCCCAAAGTCCCCTCTTCCTGACCCCATCTCAGGAGGGGGTGAGACTCCATCCCAGGAGTTGGGAGGGACACAGCATTCAGCCCGTGACACGCGGTGTGTGGTTGGGGGAGCCGGCCAGAGGCAGGCTGGGGACGCCTCCAGCGGGGTGGAGCCTTGGGGCAGCCTCCCCCGGCCCCGTAGGAGCCGAGCGAGGGGTGTCCCGGCAGCGTGCGCTGGGAGGGGCTGGTGGCAGTGTGCCCTTGGCCCCCGCCTCCTCGCAGCGGGCCGTCTTTCCGCTGCTCCCGGGTGAGCCTGCCGCGTGCCCTTGCAGCAGCGATAGCCAGCCTGTGCCCGTCACTCGCGGTGGCAGGCACCTCGATGGCCCTTGTCACTGATCAGCTCCTTACACTTCCCTACAGCGCGGGGAGGGCGCCTGGGCCATGCCCCGCGCGGGGGGCTGGGGTTCACACCCAGGGCCTGGGGCCGCTGCCTTCAGGCCCTGGCCTTGCGGGACAGCAGGGTTTCTCAGCTGGGTGGCCCTGCTCCTAGGGGACGCGTGGCGGTGTCTTGGGGCATTTTTAGGGGTCCTCTCTGGGGCAAAGCACGCGTGCTGCGGCAGGCGGTGGGCGGGGCCCCGGGAGGCTGCCCGGCGTCCCCGCCTGCCCAGGATGGGCCCCCACGGGGAACTGCCGCCGGCACGGGCACAGCACGAGGGCTCTCGGTCCGAGCGCCCCGGCCCTGTCGGGGAGCCGACCCCGTTGGGGACAGAGCGCGCGGGCGTGTCTTCAGTGTCCCCCTCGCTCACACCAGTCCTCATCGTCACCCGGCCCCGGCACCGGGCGGCGCCGTGCGTGTGCGCTCCCGGCACGGCAGCGGGGGGTCCGCGCCTGCGTGGTGCTGTCACCGCCACGGGACAGGTGGGGCGCTGGGGCGTGGGACGGGACCCGGAAGTCTCCCGGGGGAGGCCCCCCTTCGTCTTGTCGGGGAGGGCAGGGGCCCCAGGAAGGCTTCTGGGGGCAGAGTGGGGCCTCCCCGGCGGAGGGACGGCCCCGGCCGGCGGGCCTGGCCTGCCCCCCGGAGGCGGGCCCTGTCGGCCTGCAGGCTCTGTCTGCCTGGTGTGGGAGTTCCGGGAAGATGGGGCCTTGCCCCGGGTACCTTAGTGTCTCTCTGGTGCCTGGTGTCGTGACAGAAACGCCGCTGAAGTAAACCAAGCTGTCCTCGGGCCTCGTGGCCACGTGCCCCTCGTCCCGCCCCGTGGCCTGACCCCGCGGCACCCACTGCCGTCCCTGAGCAGGGGCTCCCCCCCCACGGGGCCAGGCCTCTGCCCAGGTGAGGGACTGACGCCCAGCCCACGCCCCCACTGCTGACCAGGCCCCCGTGGGTGCTGGCTGCGGGCGGGGGCCCCACCCTGGGCCCTGGAGTGGGACGTTGCCGCGCTTCCTGCTCATGGGACCAGGGAGACTCGGTTGCTGGTTCCGCTGACTCCTTGGGGATGGCACCGTCCCTTTGCCCTCCCAGTCGTGCTCTGCCCGGGAGGGCGGGGGTCCTCCTGCGGCGGCGCGTCAGCGGGGCCATCGCTACGGTTGCAGCGACGCAACATCCAGCGTCTTGGTCCCACGGCCCGGCGTGGCCGCCCCTCCGGCGTGGCCTGCGGGGTGGTTGAGTGCTGGTCCTGAGGGCCAGGAGGAGCAGGAGCAGGTGGGAGGTGGGGGGGGCCGCGGTCTCCCCCCAGGCCCGCTCCGGCAGGCGTGTCTGGGGGCTCCTGGGCCAGACTCTGCGCCCAGGCTGCAGTCCCCGCCCCCTGTGCCTGAGGGTCCCTGTTGGTGTAATGAGCCCGCAAGGGACCCCAGAGCTGGTGGGAGCCGCCACTTGTGGGTGGCGGCCCGTTTTCCCCATGGGGTTTGTTTCCTTTTTCGTTCCCGGAGTTTATTTTCCCCCGACTTGAGATTTCAATGCGAAGGTGGACAGGCTCCGTCGGGTTAGCCCTGGGCCTCTCGCTGGGGGTCTCTTGTTGGTCCTGGTGGCTCTGCCAGGCGCTGCGCTCACCTCTCTCTCCGTCTGCAGAAGCTGCCGGTGGCACTGCCCCGCTGCAGAGGTCCCAGTCTCTCCCCCACTCGGCGACGGCTGCAACCGGCGGTACGTCGGACCCCGGCACCCTCAGCAGCTCGGCGCTAAGCGAGAGAGAGGCCTCCCGGCTGGACAAGTTCAAGCAGCTCCTCGCCGGCCCCAACACCGACCTCGGTAAGTGCGGGGCGGGGGGTGTGCCGCTGGCCTGCCCTGGCCGAGGGCCAGCCTGTCGCCCCCGACGTGCTTGCTTCCCGAGTGCCCCCCTGGGCCACTCGTGTTTTGTTCATGGGCTTCCCTGCCCTGGCATCAAGTCGCTTCTGCTCTTTTTCTCCGAAGCTGGTGGCGCCCTCCCGGCCTCCTAGAGCTGCCCTCGGTGGGCTGGGGAGGCCCGGCAGGTGGTCGGCGCGCTGCTGAGTGCGCGCAGGCACTGCCCTGTGGTCTGACGCCGGGGCCACAGCCCGGTTCGCCCCTCCTGCTGGGGCCACCCCGGGGTGCGGAGTGTGGCGGTCTGTGCGCGCTGCGGGGGAGCCGACGCGCTCGGGGAGGCGCCAGCAGTTGCCACTGTGGCTCTCCCGGGTCACGAGACCTGTGCGGATGCTCCGAGACCCGTGCTCGCCTGCTGGGCTGCCGCGTGGGCCTCTGTGTTCAGTCACGTGTCTCCTCTTTGAGGGGTGCCACGCTGTGCTGGGCATTCTGCTGGACGCCAGGGCTTTCAGGGTGGCCGCCTGGTCCCCCCTAGTTGGGAGGCGGGTGCTGGAATGGTCCAGGGGCCGGGTGCCCCCGGCCAGCAGTGTCCCGCTCGGCCAGCAGGTGGCGCACAAGGCTTGTGGACCGGCAGAGCCTGGCTTGGGGGGGGGGCGGGGACTCCCCCCAGGAGGCCTTGGAGCCGAGAGGCGCTGCTCAGGTCTGGGTTCCGCTCTGGCGGGGGTTTTTTTTCTCCAGTGTCCCTCGTTTTCGCCCACGCGCCCGTGGGACGGTCGCCCTGTACCAGGGTCCCTCCTCCTTCCCCGCCGCCCCGACCCGTCCTTTCTCTCGTCCTGGGCACGCCCTTCTCCTCGCGAAGGCGTCCCACGCTCACAGGACGTGGCCAGGGTGGCACTCTGCGCCCGCACTCGCCCCGTTCACATTCGCCCCCTTCCGTTCCCCCGGGTGCTGCGAGCTCACAGGTTCCCGGACCCACGGCGCCGGTTGCAGGGCCTCGCCCCTGCTCCGGAAGGCGTCCCTGTGAGCTCCCGAGAGCGCGTCCTCCCAGCACAGGCCCGGGGGCATCGGAGCAGGGAGCCCGGCAGTGGCCCGCGCCACTCCCGGCCACAGCCCACGTGTGCACGCCGACCGTTGTCCTGTTGGAGCCTGTCGTCGCCTCTCCTCGTCCAGAGGTCGCGGGATCAGGCAGGGTGTCCCTCCTCACGTCGGCCCTCTTGGTTACCCAGAGCAGGGCCCCAGGCTTGCTCTGCAGGGTTGGAGCCGACGGGTTGAAGGGCGCGGGTCCTTCCTGGGGACACTCAGGCCGGTCCCCTCGGTCCTCGGCCATCGCGGCAGGAGGCTGGTGCGGGGTCGTCCTGGCGTTGACGGAGGCCGTTCTGATCACGTGGTCAGGGTGGCCCCCGCCGCTTCATCCGGAGACGCGCTGCTCTTCTCTGTTGCCAGCCTTGGAGCGATTTGCACACATGCCACGGTCCGTGCGTTTATGTGGCGTGTTTTCTTTCTCCGAGGGGGGTGACACTCTTCTGTGCCTCACGTTTCCCATGAACAGGGTGTTTCCCCTAAGGTCCTGGGGGCGGTCGCCTGGGGCTCTGCCCGTGGCGGTCCCTGGGCACTTGGGTGGCTCTGGACTTGGTGTTATTATAGATGATGCACAAAATGTTCCTCAGACGTGCGGCCCTCCCCCTGTGCGGGTGATGTCCTGGCGTGTCCCTGGCGTGGTGGGGGGCGGGCAGCTTAGAGCAGGGTTGCCGTGTCCCCTCCAGGCTGGGTGGGCCGTGCGTGAAGGACGCAGTGTTGTGGCTTGAGCAGGTATGTTAGCCGCTGGCCTCTGTAGGCCACCAGCGCCCCTCTGCGTGTGAGGTGGCGCGGGGGCCAAGCCACCGAGTGGCAGTGGGGAGGAGGGTCTGGGCACGGGCTGCCTGCGTCGAGGGCTGGCTTCACTGTTCCCTCACCATGGCCGTGAGCTTGAGCTCGCCTGGCGGCTCCCGTGCCCGATGCCCTCGCCCATCTGCAGGTGTGGCGGCCAGAGTGCCAGGCGCCTAGGCACTGCATACAGAGGGCTCGGACGCTGGCCGGCCCACAGTCGGCGCCCGGGAAAGCCTGCTGCGGTGTAAGTTTTCCTTGGCGTTGGCCTCTTTATCCTGTGACTTGATTTCCTAACGGGCGTGTGGTGCCCGTTGTCACTGGTGGTTGTGACAGGTCGCCGCAGTTCCCAGACACTTCCTTAGGTGCGCTCTGTGCTTTCTGAGCGCAGGCGGCGGGGCGAGAGTCAACGGGAACGAGGGTCTCGGTGGGGACCGCCCTTCAGGGCCCGGGTCTGAGCCCTGGTGCAGTGCTTCTCGTGGGCTTTCCCGTTGGGGTAACTTCGGGGATCAAAACCATGCCTAAAAGTAGAGCTTGTGAGGCTCTCGGGAAAGTGTGAGTGTGTGTGGGTACATTGAAGGGCACTGTGTACAAATCACTTTCTCCTGTGCCATTGGCGGGATTATGGGTTTTTCTTTCTTCAGAATTCTACTTAGCTATCAAACCTAACAACAGAGAGCTAAACCCAAAGCTTTCAAAGTTAAACAGTTGCTGGATTTGTATTTAGTGGCAAGAGGAGACAGAGGCGGCACATTGCCCGGTTTTATGAGGCATGTAAGGCAGCTTTGAAGACAGCGGAGTGTGTTATTTTCTGGGTATGATCTTAAAGCAGTTGTTAAAAAATGTTTGTAAGTCTACTGTACTGTTTAAACGGAGCAGTGTGAAAAATCAGCCTGTTCCACGTTTGTTCGTTTTCCATGACATTTCCTTGGAGGCGAGGACGTCACCTACCGACCGAGCAGCGGTGAGACCAGTGGCCCTTTCCCTTGTTTGCGGGAGAAGAAGAGCCAAGAAGTGGGGTCCCCTGGAACGAGTTGCTCCCGGCTCTCTGCAGCACTTGCCCCTGTCACGTAGCTCCTGGCACCTTCCGCCTCTCCTGGAGCAGTACGGCTGTGTCCATCAGGCCGCTAGGCGGTGAGCTCCGCGGGCGCTGTGGCCGCGGCCCTTCCTCTCGCGCGGCGACGGGCGGCCGGCACCCGGCACCCGGCACACTCTCCGGAGGCTCGGGGGAGCCGAGCCTATGCGCCAGCCGGCGGTCTCACCCCTCCTGCCCCGTGTCCCTTTAAGGATTGTTGGTGTCTCTGGTTCGCCTGCTGCCGTGGGTTACCTGGGTCCAGGGGGGAATGGGTTAGGGGCTGGTTTGATTGTAGGTTACGGAAAACCCGACTTGGGTTTTATTGTCATGGATAGGGGTTGGTGGTCTCAGCCAGAGAGCCGAGGGTAGGTGACTATTGGCGTTGGTTCTCTGCAGTATCTTTAAGACTCCAAGGTCGTGGCCATGAGGTGGCGGTCATCTTGTGGTGAGGTGAAGGGCGGTCACCCTGGCATGTGCATCCTCCTCAGGGAAGCAGGGTGTGATCCCGACTGGGTCACGGGGCCACCGCTAGCTGCACGGGGTGCCGAGAGGGTGGTCTCTCCTGTGGGCTTGGCCGTGGGCACTTTGCAGTTGGCGTTCTGGCAGCAGGAGGAGGAAGGGACGGGCTGGGGCCGAAAGCCCGCTGTGTTTGCCGCTCACGCAGGCTTTCTTTCGTATGTCTGTCACCTCGCAGATTTCTGGTTCCTCGAGGTCCGGGACTGTCTGTCTTGTACTGTAGCATTTAACCCATGGCTGCTGCTTGGCACTGTTCCAAACACGTTTAGAGACTCAGAACGCGTTTGAATGGCCTCCGACCGTATGCAGTGTGTCGGGCGTGAAGCGAAGGAGTGAACTTTGAGTCTTCATCGCCAGACACGGCATTTACACCGAGCCCCCTGGGTCCTGTTCCACCTGCGTCCCCCTCACCTCCCCAAAATAGAGCTGAGACTCCCAAGGGCCAGAAACCATCCCATGGCTTGTATCTAGTCCTGGAAACTGAAAAAAATTTTAAAACAATTTTTGTTTTAGGATGATTGAAGTTTTTTGGAATTCCTTATGTAAAAGGGAATGACCACAGACCGCTAGAATGACACGCAGAGAGCTGAGCTGAGAGAGGAGCCGGGCTACAAACGGGCGTGCGTCTGTGTTGACTTGCCGAAGTGTGCTGGGGAGTTGTCACCCACAGTCTGGGGACCGAGGGGGCAGGGGCCTGCGGGGACAGAGGCGCGTCTGTGGCAGGCGGCCGCCCCTGCGTCTGGACTGGGCAGAGGAGCGGGGACCTTGCTGCCCAGCCCCAGGGCCGGCGCTGGTGGGCTGGGCTTGGGGAGTCAGGGCTGGGAGCGACCGCCCCCAGGGACTGGGCCTCTGACCGCTGTGGAGCGGAGAGGGCGTGGCTTCCGCCCAGGCCTGGCGGGGACAGGCAGGCAGCGCGCACGCTTCGCCAGGGCGTCGCAGCGCCCCGCGGCCACGGCCCGTCTGGTGTGGCTGAAGTCTGCAGCCGGCGGCCTTCCCAGGTGAAGCGAGAAGGAAGGGTTCTTCAGGCAGAGCTGGAAGGAGAGGAGAAGAGAGGGTCTGGGATTCGCTGTGGGCAGGACGGGCCGCAGGGGCTCCCTGGACTCACACCGAGGGCTCCGGGGCGGGGCCGTGGCGGCGGCTGTCGGATGGCAGCGACGGTGGCCGGGGGGTGACAGCGAACTTAGCTGAGTGCTTGCCCTGTGCCTGGAGCCTGGAAGTACGGGGAGTGCCCGGGACGCGCCCCGGCAGGGCCGAGCAAGGGCCGTGTGCTCCCCTTTGTCCTCCTGTGTCCCATAGCGTCCTGTGCTCTCCTTGCTGCGTCCCCCACCCCCGGAGGCTCTGTTTGGCCCTCACCTGTCCGAGGACAGTGCAGGGCAGCCAGCGCCAGCCCCAGGCCCGAGTTGCGGGGCCTCCTGGAGCCGGTGGTTGTCTGCTCAGCCCAGGAGGCCCAGAGAACGTACGCACAGGAAGGGGAGTTGAGTATGTTTAAGATGAAAAGCAAGAAATTGGAGAGAAA